GGGTAGAAGGCTTGGTTGGCCTGGGCGGGAGTCGACCCGGGATTTGAACCCGGCGCCGCGCGAGTGGTAAGCGCGCCACTTGTCACTACACCACCTCCGCCTCATCAACAAGAGTTTACAAAAATGCACCACCGAGTGCCCCCCTCCCTCCCCACCCTCCCCCCGCTCACCCCCTACGCCGTAAAATGGTGCCACAATAGAAGGCGAGGGGAAGTTTGTGCAGTCGCTCTTTTGTCTGAATCGATTTCGCTCAAGTGTGTTACGAATCCACGTTGTCAATGACGATACTATTTCCATCACACCGAATGAATTAGAATTGTGTTGATTTGGTCATAAATGTTCGGAGATTCTTACATTTAGCGGAAACGTGCTCGGGCTTTTTTGCTGTGTTGACGATCATGGGAAATTAGTGGAAGTACATTTGCTGGATTGTAAATCAAATTATTCAGTTAGAATTTCATTTGATAGTTTGGTGTCGATCAATGATCATGAATAATCGTACAGCAGATATTCACAAAACTTCTCGAGATTAATCCCAGAAATTTGAGAAGGGATTCTAGAGCCTCTGCAAAGCCAACTGTACGATTAAGAAGTTGCGGTTCTGCGAATAGTTTTGCCTAACTATCGGCTTATTATTGATCAACATGATTCAAAACGGGAACACCTTGTTCGTAGCTAGACCAGAATGGTTCCGTTACATTATATTAGGCTGGGAAATAAGTTCAGATCGTTTTTGTCCTTTTTCTTTTTATTTCTACAACGATTATTTGCTTTTTTACCGACTGTGTAATATTCATTTGATAGAACTCTCCGCTCTGCAAAATATGTCAATCGTTTTTTTTCCGTGTAATGTGTTTTTTATTACTTTCACGGCTCAGAATTAGAATATATCGGAGGGGAAAAAACAAAATTTTCGACATCAGCTGTTCTTCGCTTTTTCATCGAGGCCAAAAAGCTGCCGAATCAGCCCAAAACATTTGCAGGGTAACGGAGAAGGTGCTACTGACCAGTCTACAGCACGGAGCTGGTGTGCAAAGTTCAAAAAAAGCTGCCGGAGAAGGGTGTCAAAAGATTTCAGTGCTCTAGGAATTGCTTGAAAAAGTGCCACGTCAAGAAGCAGCTCTACATAGCCCAGCTACATCGAGTGATAGAGGCTGTCTTGACTGTTTGACTGATAAGACCCCATAGAGGCCAAACCATACTCCTTCACGACAGTGCCAGAACTCATGTTGCACAGGTCATCGGAGCCACTCCAAAAGCTCGAATGGGACGTTCTTCAGCGAGCGCTGTATTCGCCGCACCTTACACACCTGGACTGCTTCAGCATCTTTTTGACCTCGTTGGAAAAGCGAAGA